ACTCACTTACCAATTTTAACAATGAAATTCAACGTAATAAAGGCGTGGTTTTTTTAGAGAGAAAACATCGCATTCGATACTGATATCAAAACTGCACTCGAATGCGATATTTTCTCTCTAAAAAAACCACGCCTTTATTACGTTGAATTTCATTGTTAAAATTGGTAAGTGAGTGCTATAGTCTCCTGACAACAGAATTGCGATCTCAAAATTGGAGAAAAATGACGAGTAGCTGAAAAAATGGAACCAATTGATGCGATATATCGCATTCCGTTCTGACACAAAATATGGCGTCCATCGAATCACCTTAAGGGTCATAAAAGGCCTTTGCCAGGACCCATCCTTTTTTTTGAAGCCTTTAAAGTGCCCGATTTGACCACCCCGGCCCCGGTGCTCCCCGGTGCTGGCATCCCCGGCGCTCTCCCAATCAGCAACCACCACTCCTCTCCCCGGAGGGATTCCTGGTCTCCAAGATCCCAAACGAGCTGGCGAATCGTGGCCCGCTTACGAAATGCGGACCCGCTACCACCTGTTCGCCCCCTCCCTGCCTTCCAGCCACAATTAGCTCGGCCAATTAAGTTTATTATTTTTTGAAATTTACTTTTTCAGTTTTGCTGATTTTGTTGCTCGGCTCACTCTTCCCTCTCTCTCCGACGTTCTCGGGACTCGTTTCGAGTTCGTGTGTGGCTCCGAGGCATTCGGCTAACACCATGTGCAAGATTATCAATATTTCCACGTTTCAAGTCGGAAAATACGTATCTTCGATCGCGACGTTGCAAATCTTCGCTCATATTTTATTTTTAAGGATGAAACAACTGAAAATTTTCCTCAAATTTGTGTGTAAATTTATTCCTCTCATTCCGCAAAACACTCAAAAATAATAACAAGCAGATACTTTGGTTCGTTTCTTAAAGAAAAAAAAAAAAATATATAGTCTCTGCGATGTAAAGATCTGGCAACCTCAATCTTGACGCTTTGGCTCAGCTGTGGCAAATTGCTTATAGTTTGAACAACATATGGTGGGAAATGAACAGTGCTCGATTGAGAGCGCTTGCTGGAACTGTTGTAGTGCGCGATTTGACTCACATAGAGCTTTGAATTTCTTGTGAGCGGGCAGTTCAAAATCGGCGTAACCAATGTGAAATAGGAGTTGGTTTCAGTAATTTCCGTTGTGTGAATCGTGTTTTACGTAAAATTTTGGTCAAGGAACATGTATCAGGATGTTTAAATTCGTACTTTGTCTAGTGGTCCATAATTGTTTTTTTTTTTTAATTTATTTATTTTTGGAAACATTTGTTTTTCAAATAATACGACAATTTCTTGAAATACTATCAACGTTGTATCAGCACCTAAGTGCAAATACTTTTGAACATCAGATGTGCGTATTGCCCCTTAAACTGCATGAAGCCGGTCTAATTTTCGCAGTGATATGGAATATTGTGGTTACCTCAATTTACAAGTTTCCAACAAAAGCCTCCCTCTTCCTGACTCCATCACAATTCTTTTCGCTACATGGGTCTCGCATTGAAATAAGGAAAAATGTTGTCCCGTCTATTTGTGCTCCAAGGACGTGCGTGTTGCATGTTAAAAAGAATGAAGGCGCCTCCACACTACTGTACCCTCAGCGACCAATTCGTCCTCGAGGACGTGCGTCTTGCATGTCAAAGAGAATGAAGGCGCCTCTACACTATTGTACCCTCAGCGACCAATTTTGTAACGAAGCAATCAAACTTCACTCTCCGTTGAAATAAATTCTATTTCACCTTGGAAATAAACTCAAACTCGGCGAAACTGTAGGAATATAGGACGTCCCCTCAACTTCACCTCGTTCCGCAAAATACTCGCCTGGTCCGCATATTTTTTGTGTCATCCCTTTGCCGTGAGCTGATGGAGGGTGACCGTCGTGTCTTTCATCCCTCGTCGCGGGACCGCTCTCCGGTATTCTGTCGGCGTTGCCTTTCGTTAATACTTGTTGATTCTATTAGCATTAATTTGTCTTTGTGTGCGAGCAGCTCTTAATAAAAGCGCTAATCCGGGGCCTGAGTCGGTTTTATCAGAGTCACACCGCGTTGCTATGGCCACGGGCCTGCGTGTTGTATCAATGATCCGACTTTTAAAACACGTGTCACTGTGTATGTGGAGGAGTTTTGAAATTTAGATTTATTTTCGGAGAATTTTTGTTTTTCGACCGCTTTGATAAAAAGTTTCATCTGATTCGAAATGAGCTTCGCCTCCATTGGATTTTCCTAGGTAGGTGTACAAAAAATTCAAATAATTTCATAAAATTCTCCGGTGATATCGAAGAGAAAATACTGCCGTACTAAGGAAGAACGCCGTATAAACATTTGAGAGTTGCCAAATTTCCTTCGATAAAATGATCATTTTTTAGTATATTTATCAATATTTTCTCTTGAAATTTGCAGATGATGAAGTTCTGGCTGCGGATGAAATTGTCTTAAAAATTGGTGGGAAAATATTCACAAATTTTTCCGAGAATTCGTATTTTATCTGAGGAAATTTGGCAACGTCTGAAGGTTCATACTGCGTTTTTCCTTAGCATGGCAGAATTAGAGTTCGCTTTGAATAGGGAAAGTGCGTGACCACCAGACCTTCCTGCCCTTTTTTTCAGCCGAACAGGCACCCGATGTCAACTTTTTGATGTTTCTGGTAAATAATATGGGAAATCAAAACCATGCGTTTCTTTCCGAATTCAGTCAATTTTTCGGCGAAAATATGTTCACGACCGACTTTTGGGGGATCTAGCGTTTCTATTGATGCATTATACGGTGCAATTTATTCAAAAAATACCAAAAGTCAATTTTTGAAATTTCAATTTTCTTCTACTCGGGTCGATGATTCTGACTGTCCCGTCCGCTGTACGGACAAAAACATCGACCCGGTCGGGAAAAATAGAAACTTTCAAAATCAAGATCTTTGGTATTTTTTTGGAGAACAAGGAATGTATTATACATCAATAAGAGAACGCCGAATTCCCGGGAAGTCAGTCGTGAACTTACTCTTGCCAAAAAATTGACTGAATTCGGCAAGAACACGTGCTTTCGATTTTCTATGTCATTTACCATAAAAAAAGAATAAGTGGTCATTAGGGTTCTGATTGGCAGAAAAAAAAGCGGGAAGATCTGATGGTCACTTACTTTCCGTATATGCAATGCGGGTCTTATATTCTCTTTGGGTGATTAATGAAAATCCTTTCGAAAAAACTGGTCATTCCTTCATCGCTTTTTCAAAAACCTGCAATTTCAGTCGTTATTTGTATTCCTTTGAAAAAAAACTTGACAGTTATATTTTTTTCTTCGGAGTAGTCTTAATAATTACCGCATATTTCCGGAATTTTTTTGCGAGAAACATTCGATGGAAGTTCCCTTTTATTCAACCTAATTTATTCTCAATACTGAAGATTTTTGTTTACCTCTTTGTCTGCCAGTCACAAAACTTTGAAAAGTTTAAGTCAGCTAAAACAGGTTTACAACAAGTCAGATACTGGATATTCATAAGTTCAAAAATGTTTGAATTGATGATGATTAATGTATATTTCTAATCATTAAGATTGTTTCCATGGAAAATGTTGAACTCTTACCAGCTTCCTCGTGCGCCATTCGCGAACAAGTATGCAAGTAGAATTGGACGTATTTTTACCAAACAGAACTATGTGCAGGCGGGGAAGACGGGGTATGCTCGTTAGTCGGGGGCCATAAGAATGAATGGGAATTAAAAAGCGCCAGTGACGTCAGCGGCAACGATGAAGCTGCGGAACGACGATCTGAGGCATTAACTCATAAGCCCTGTTCACAACGCTTTAGACACATGCTTACGGCTCATGAGTCCCGCATACAGTTGGCACTTAGCCCCGTTTGCTGAATGGAGATGTTGCATGTGTGAGGAATTTGCAATTTGACTATCGATTCTTATGTAAAAGTTCGCGAGAAACACGATGGTGCCAATGGTTTTCTCTGAAATCAACTCTCAAGCTCAAAAAAAGCTCTCAAGTTGAGGCCAAAACGGAGGGGATATCCCACGGAGGATATCCTGGGAGTCCACCTCTACATCAAGACAAACTCTCCATGCGAAGATAGGGAGCAAATACATTAGCAGGGTTGCCGTGTTTTCAGTTTTGGAGTCCCCAAATAAAGTGGCAGCCCTGTCAATGTATTTGCTCCCTATCTTTACATGGAGAGTTCGTCTTGATTTAGAGATGGACTCTCAGGATCGCGTGGGATATCCCCTCCATTTTGGCCTCAACTTGAGAGCTTTTTTCGAGCTTGAGAGTTGATTTCAGAGAAAGCCAGTGGCACCATCGTGTTTCTCGCAAACTTTTACATAAGAATCAATAGTCAAATCGCAAATTCCTCACACATCCAACATCTCCATCTGCGCACTAGGGAATTTAATTCAGGCTTTTTTGACGTGCCCAACGTGATTTTCGTGCTATTTTACCCGTAAAAATTATATTTATTTGGCTGTATCTCTTGCGTGCAACAGACCCATTTGAGAGTTATCAACCGCGATATTTTTTTTCTTTCAAAATGTTGCCTTTTTGTGCGATGCTTCTTTTTTCCTATAAATGATAATCGAATTTACGTAAGTGTAAAAAATCACCCGAACACCTCATAGCAAAACGACAGAGGTCGATAATCGCAACGATTATCAATTCTGTCTTGGCGTGTGAGTCAGACCGGCACTTCCAGTAATGTTACTTTTCAACTGTAACATGAGCTATTTCAAATTACACGTTCGCCGGGCACCAGCGAGCTGCGCCCAGGAGGTGCAAGAAAGCCGGACAGGTAAGACATATTGCAGAACCCGCCGCAGTGAGACGTTTTGCAGAGTCGGGGATCGGAAGGCGCAGGGCCGGGACCCGCCCCTCGACCCGATTGGCGGCTGCCGCGGCGTCCCGGCGCTCCTGATTGGTCGGCGGCGCGCGGGAGCGGTCGCACCTCGCGTCGCGACGCCACCTCGAAGCTCAGTACAGCGTGTCTCGCTCACGTGGTCGGTCGTTTGGAGGGTGGCCTATACGCCGGGCGCCGGCGACGAGAAAATTACGCGGACCGGAAGTATAAAAAATATATAGTCGATGAAATTATAGTCCAACATCGAGTTCCGGTTTTCGTCTATTCACTGACACGCCCATTTAATAACTGTCTAATGCTGTTGGCTTTCAATAAGATCCGAGGAAAATGACATTCGCTTTTATTGGAACCCCGGAAGTGGAAGGGTCACGTAATCGTCCCCGAATTTAGCCACGAAATCACCTTAATTTTACACCCCAAAAAATGACCGGGGCCTTTTAAACTGCGGTTTTGTGTGGACTTATCGGTGGTTAAGATAAAATAATTTTGTTCTTTCAATATCGTTGAATGTCTCCTCAGCATTCACTGACCGGGTTTTTCTTTATCGTTGATCTGAACTAATCAAAGTGTATTTGAAAAAAGAAGACCGTGTACTGAAAGCGTCAGTTATAGAAATTTTGATTTCGTAAAATTGGAACGTAATGTTCTGAAGACTCGGTGACTCTTAGTAAGCGAGGGAATTGCTCACAACTATAGTGCTCTTTTCGGTTTTTAGACTTTCGCGCAAGTTTCTTTCACGATTTTGCTTTTTCCTGCGTAAGATTGTGATTTTATGAGACACTGTTAACTTTAAAGAATTTTGTTCATGGATTTTTCGGAATTTAATTATAACGCTAGAATGTAGATTCTAATCAAATTTGTTCAAACACACATATAATTTCATAGTTTTGTAAAAGTGAAAAAAGGTAGATGAGAACCTGCTATAGATAAAAAACACCGTAAATTTTTAGTTTACAACGGTTTTAACCACTGCAATCATTCTAGCTTATTCTTATCTTGTCTAAACCCGCGGCATTCTTGAGAAGTCACAAATTACATTTTTTTTCCTTGAAATATTGCTCAATTACTCCTCCTTAAAAAGTTTAAAATACTTTTTTGTATTAATATTTTGTAGTTCTGTTATTATTTGTCATTTTTGAAGCGTTTGAAATTAAATTGTGCTTTTACGCGTAGTACAAACAATATCCGCTTTTACTGTATATTTATAGAATAATATTTACTCGCGTAAGGAATAAAAGACATGTTTATCAAAAATTTACAAGAGAAATAAAAAATACACAAACTCACAAATTAGCAGGACATGATCGATTGTGTGAAAAACGCTTTATCAAATGAAAAGATTATTATCATAAATATTTCAAAAGTCGCCTTTTCACGCACGATGTAGTCAAAATCAGCATAACGTGTGTCGTCAACAGTATTGAATCTTATCAATCGAACTAGGTACATTAATAGTTCTAACGAATTTTCGGGAAGTTAAAGACTAACCATGGTTTTCAACGAGATATATCAGTCCAAGTTCAACAGACTTTTATACTTGATTCTGTATTTTTTCGACTTGTGCGTGAAAGTCTAAAAAGGTGCGCTCGGTGATTCATCTTGAGGGAGGATTTGCAAGATACACGATGGAATTCATGTGCCGATCTATTTACATCGTTATCTCAACACTATTCACCTTAGCCTTTTCAGCAAGTATGTTTAAATCTCACGTATCTGTTTCTTTTGCTGCAAATTGGTCTCTTCGTATACTTCGTGTTTCGAATATTTCCGTATTTCGCCTCGATGAAAATTTTGAGTAGGTGGTAGAGTTTTCTTGTTCGTTGGTTTTATTCAATTGTGTGTTCAAGATTTCTTACATTTGTCCAAAAACATACAAGTCTTATGGGAGCAAGTTTCTTACACCTCGAAATTAAAATTGAATTGTTTGTAAAATTTGTCTTTTATACTATGCTTTAAAAGGCATACTGACGCTTTGAAAAATAATTTTAGAATCTGTGCGTGAGAAAATTAATTCAACAACTATGAAAAAGACGTTTTTGATCTCGTTTAATTTTCTCTTTATTTTCAACTTATCCATCTTTAAATAAAACACCAAACACAAAAATTATTTCTATTAAAATAACACGGATTTTGCAGACCAAAAAGGAAGTTGCAAGCAGTTAATTTATAAAATTTTTGCTCTAAAAGAGGTCGTAAAGTTGCAAAAAATACGCAAATAGGAGCCCGGCGAATGTAATGTTTGGAGAGTTTTCCCTCTGAATTAAGATTTTTCGACTCGGAACCTCAATCCGCCATAGTGCAACTTTGCTTTGACAATTTTAAGCGTTTGTGTACTAGATTTTTTTTTTTTTTTAATTCTCCCCTAGGCGGTGGCACCAATACCTCATTCTTCAATCTTTTGGCACCGAGAATATGCTAATAAGATCATAATCTTCCATTATTATTCTATCAAAATTTGAGAGCATTGCAGAGGACATTACACATCTAAACGGGTAGTTGATTTAGTCGATTTTCTGAAGGACAATATAGAGTTTCTTCGACCTACAAATTTCCGTAAAATTTTCAGAAACATTTTCTAGAAAGTCCACTCATTCAAGAATGAACTATCCATGGGAATTAAAATGTTCAAATGTACGTACGTACTTATGCAAATTCCCCACCATGTCCGTCCTCGTAAATGTAGGATTTGCGAGTGGAAATTCCGCATCGTTGAAATGTAACTTCGTTCTTTCATCCCGAAAATAGATCATTTTGAGTTTTTAACCAGACTACAGTCTCCCTTCGTAAGAATAGTCACACTTTTCAACTTTAGCCACTTGCTGAGCCCGGAAATCACCTCTTTAGCTATAAAAATTAAGAGTTTGATATTTACAAGGCTAGTAGGTGGATAACGAAGGGGGTCGGCGTGATATGAAAAACAGGAGTAGAGAGAAGAGGTGCTGTCACAGTTTCTTAACTGACCATACTCGTTCGTCAAATTTTTGTATGTAATGAAGATTTTGCAAGGGAAGTATTAAAATAAATTTAAAATAAGTAATGTATCGCCTATAGTGACCTCATCTGGCGGCATTTCCCATGTTAATACATTATGCCAGCAGATTAGATAATTTTATCATATTTCCCCCAATCTCCAATTGTTGTTCAATCTGTGACCCGTGGGTATCCTCGTGTTCAGTTCACTCAGTAGTTTCCACTTGAAAACGAAATTCATCAAATTTCAGACACCTGCATATTCTTTATTAGAGGGAAAATGAGGAAAATTTACGTTTAGAAATGCCGAACTGTTCCCTGGTAAAAATTTCGCAGCGTTGAAGTAAAGATACTTTTTTCCAATCCAGTAACGACGAATTTCAATTCTTTGAGGACCTAGAATCTCATACCTCATGGACCGCAATGGAAAGGCATCGTCGAAATAAATATACGTTTTCCCATTCGGAAAACGACGAATTTTAAGTTTTTTGTGAAGTAGAATCTTATTTCTTATGGATCGCCGTAGAACTTTTGCAACGATGAAATAAAGTTATATTTTACCATTCGAGGAACGACGGATTTTAAGTTTTTTGTGAACTAGAATCTCAATCCTCAAGTCCCTGAAATTACCTATTTAGCCCTAAGCAATAAGATTCGATATATTATGTGTATTTAGAGAGGAAATAAGGGAATTTTACATTCTGAAATACCAAACTGTTCCCTGGTAAATAAGAAATGAACAAGAAAAATAAAATATGAGCTTATGAAATTTTTGCAATATTGAAGTAAAGTTACGTTTTTCCATTCGGAAAACTTTGAATTTTAAGTTTTTTGTGAACTAGCATCTCAATCCTCGTGAATCGCCATAGTTGTCCAACTTTAGTCCCTGAAATTACCTATCCAGCCATAAGCACTAGGGTTCGATATTTCACGACCAGTAGGAAGATAGCGAAGGGCGTGAAATGAAAGGTAGGAGTACCGAGAGGAGATGCTGTGACAGTTTCGAAATTGGCCATACTCGCCTGTCACATCTGCATGTAATTAGAGAAGAAATAAGGGGAATTTACATTTTGAAATGACAAACTTTTTCGTAGTAGAAAGACAGAAAAAAATACGAGCTAATGGAAATTTTGCAACGTTGAAATAAAGTTACACTGAGAAAAAACTATGGTTTATAAACCTATTAGAGGTAAATATGGAACACCTATAATAGTCGTAAATAAACTAATGATTCTCGGTCTGTGAACCATACTAAGGTCTCTAGACCATAACTAAGGTATATGTGCTATTATTATATGTAGAGGTACTACTATTAGTGGTGTTCCATATTTACCTCTAATAGGTTTATAAGCCATAGTTTTTTCTCAGTGTACATTTTACCATCCGAGAAACAACGGATTTTAAGTTCTTTGTGAACTAGAATCTCATTCCTCGTGGATCCCATATTTGTTCAACTTTACTCCCGAAAATCACCTATCCAGCCATAAGCACTAGGGTTGGATATTTTACGACCAGTACTAAGATAACGAAGGGGGTAGCGTGAAATAAAAGGCAGTAGTACCGAGAAGGGATGCTGTGACAGTTTCGAAATTGACCATATTCTTACGTCAAATCTGCATGTAATTAGAGGGAAAATGATGGAAATTTACATTTTGAAATGACAAACTGTTTTTTAGAAAAATAAAGAAGAAAAAAACACGAGCTGATGAAAATTTTGCAACGTTGAAAGAAAGTTACGTTTTACCATTCGGGAAAATACGGATTTTAAGTTTTTTGTGAATTAGAATCTCTTTCCTAGTGGATCCCATATTCGTTCAACTTTAGTCCCGAAAATCACCTATCCAGCCATAAGCACTAGGGTTGGATATTTTACGACCAGTACTAAGATAACGAAGGGGGTAGCGTGAAATAAAAGGCAGTAGTACCGAGAGAGGTGCCATCCCAGTTTCTAAATTGAACATACTCGTACGTCATGTTAAAAAATTAGAAAGAAAAATAAGAGCTGATTGAAAGCTTACAACGTTGAAATGAAGTTACGTTTTTCCATTCGGAAAACGACGAATTTTAAGTTTTTTCTGAACTAGAATCGCATTCCTCGTGGATCCCATATTTGTTCAACTTTACTCCCGAAAATCACCTATCCAGCCATAAGCACTAGGGTTGGATATTTTACGACCAGTACTAAGATAACGAAGGGGGTAGCGTGAAATAAAAGGCAGTAGTACCGAGAAGGGATGCTGTGACAGTTTCGAAATTGACCATATTCGTACGTCAAATCTGCATGTAATTAGAGGGAAAATGAAGGAAATTTACTTTTTGAAATGACAAACTGTATCTTCGTAAAAAAGAGAAGAAAAAAACACGAGCTGATGAGAATTTTGCAACGTTGAAAGAAAGTTACGTTTTACCATTCGGGAAACGACGGATTTTAAGTCTTTTGTAAACTAGAATCTCAATCCTCGTGGATCCCATATTTGTTCAACTTTAGTCTCGAAAATCACCTATTCAGCCATAAGCACTATAGGGTTGGATATTTTACGAGCAGCAGGAAGATAGTGGAGGGGGTGGCGTGAAACAAAAGGCAGGAGCACCGAGAGAGGTGCCATCCCAGTTTCTAAATTGACCATACTCGTACGTCATGTTAAAAAATTAGAAAGAAAAATAAGAGCTGATTGAAAGCTTACAACGTTGAAATGAAGTTACGTTTTTCCATTTGAGAAACGACGGATTTTAAGTTTTTTGTGAGCTAGAATCGCATTTCTCGTGGATCGGCATGGAAAGTTTGCAACATGGAAAGAAAGTTAAGTATTTCCATTCGGAAAACGACGAATTTTAAGTTTTTTCTGAACTAGAATCCCATTCCTCGTGGATCCCATATTTGCTCAACTTTAGTCCCGAAAATCACCTATCCAGCCATAAGCACTAGGGTCGGATATTTTACGAGCAGTAGGAAGATAGCGGAGGGGGTGGCGTGAAACAAAAAGCAGGAGCACCGAGAGAGGTGCCGTCGCAGTTTCTAAATTGACCATACTCGTACGTCAATGTGTGTTGTCTCTATCTCTGGCGCCGCGCCGGTGTCCCCACACCCCCCGGCCCCGAACTTTACTGCCCCGTCCTCCGGATATTTTTCCGGCCGAAACTTCCTCATCGATTCTGGCTGAAAAGTTATCAACATTTACCCCTCAATCCGCTCATTTTTCATCTCGGAATTGATGCGTCAGTTCATGCCGTCGTCGTCAAACGAATCTGATTCCGTCCGCGAATTCTTTCGCCGAACTAGTTTACTTTCTTTCAGGATTATTAAACGGAGACTTTGAGCAGCATACCTAAACAGCATAACTCTTTGAGGAAAAATTGTGCTCGAATGAGCGTTTTCCTTCTATCATGAGAATACTAGGAGTCTACCCCTTGCCGCTCCGCAGCCCAACCCCCGGAGAGTGTACTTCGCGGTCTCTAAGGCCGCTACGTGGGCCCCCGTTGTTAATCTAAATGGAGCAGGCTCGAGGCTAGACATACGAAGTAGATGGCCGAGACAATAATAATTATATCACTTACGGTACAACGAAAAAACAGGCATCCCCAAAAAAGCATGACTATTTGAGGGGAAGTTTACTCGAGTGTGTGTTTTTACTCTTACTCAGACCATGAAGCTTTTACCTGCGGCGGATTGACAAAAGCACGGAACGCATTTTTTCGGTGTGCAAAATTGTCAACGGCGTAGT